AGGGTTTACAGCGTGCTTCTGTCTCCACGCTGTTGTCGCCCTGTTGATGACGTCAGCGACGCGGTTTAGTCGAGCACGGTTTTGTGGGTGAACCCAGATGAGTATGTTTTCAGATGGGTGGGAAATCCTGAGGACTTGCCAAAATGGCTGGTGTGATGAACAGGGAGGCGGCAAAAAACCTGAAATTCAACAGCTGGATCTGCTCTTCAGCACCCTGAATTTGCCCCTCCTGGCTGGGATGGAGATCTTACCCCTAGGCTATTTTGGGAAGGGGAGGCTGAAGGAAGGGTGGGGTTTAATGGCCAAGTACATGGATAAGCATGAAACTGAAGCACAATCTGTTTTTATGGTCCCAGAATTTTCATAGGACGAATGTTGGAAGAAGGATGCCGCATGGTCCTTTGCAGGGTGTTAGGTTTCTATTTAATTTTAATAAAAAGGAAGAAACTTAGTATTTTAAGGCACCCGATAGAAGATGAAAGGGATATTTGTAAGCGACCAGAGGCTCATAGGCACCGTGTTACCTATGCCTTGTCGCTTTCTCTTTCTTGAGGAAAGAACCTTGGATAGGGTGATCTCAGGAGGGGAAAGTGGTTCATGGCTCTCACCGTGGGGCTGCTGCCTCCATGACCCATTGATAAGACGATATTCCTATCATGTGGACTCCCATCCAGGTTAATGGGTGGTTTTATGCAGGGGTGGGTTTCAAAAAATTTTATCGATGGGTTTTCTGCCCGGTTGCTAGGTGGGCGTGGCCATGGTGGGCGTGGCCTAGTTGGCCTCCTGCACCACAGCAGAGGGGGCGTTTTTGCCCTCCCTGGAAGCTTTCTTCGTGCCTCGGGGGAGGGTGACAATGCCCTCCCCATGATCCGGAGGCCCTCTGGAAGCCGAACTTCTGGTAGGTTCATTTTCCACCCTCCCTGGGACTCCGGGCATGCCCTGCATTTACCTGCATCCAAAACGGGCTGTGTGGAGACTCCTGGGAGGGGAGGGGAGGGGTGGGCAGGGCCAGCCAGGAGTGGGATTTGGGGGTTCTCCGAACTGCACTGAATCCCTGCAAACCCCCAGGAGCCCACCCCTGGTTTCTAGGTCTGCTTAATGTCAGAGGACTGACACATGGCCTTCATTCTGAGTCAACTGTCTGAATCCTGGGCATCTTTATGATCCTAATCCCAAAAGCTCAGGTATCATTTTGGTAGCCCAGGATGGATATTCATTTTGGAGTCAATTCGGTCCTTTTTCTTGAAGCAAGGCTCCCTAAATTGACTCTCATTTGGACAACTCTTGTTGCTGAATGCGCACATCTAAGAAGAAGGTGTTCAGTTCGGACAATTTGGCGTGAGCCAATTCAAGCCATCAAAATTTCTGAAGTGACTCAAAACCTACTTGATGGTTGAATTGAATCAACACTTCCTAAAGTTAAAGGTTCCCCTCGCACACATGTGCTAGTCGTTCCTGACTCTAGGGGGCGGTGCTCATCTCCATTTCAAAGCCGAAGAGGCAGCGCTGTCTGAAGATGTCTCCGTGGTCATGTGGCCGGCATGACTCAATGCCGAAGGCATACAGAATGCTATTACCTTCCCATCAAAGGTGGTTCCTATTTTTCTACTTGCATTTTTACATGCTTTCAAACTGCTAGGTTGGCAGAAGCTGGGACAGGTAACAAGACCTCACTCCGTTATGCGGTTCTAGGGATTCGAACCACGAAACTGCCGACCTTTCTGATCGACAAGCTCAGCATCTTGTCCACTGAGCCACCGGGTCCCCAACAGTTCCTACTTCACCCAATTCGCAGAGGCCACTTTGCCACCCGCCCATCTAGAGGGGGTCGCTGGAGGCAGTTTATCTAACCTTGGCTCATGAACTCAGTCACAATGTAAATGGGCTCTTCTGATACCACAGCATACAGTTGCACCAGTTTGTCATGTCGTAAGCGCTTCATGATCTGGGCTTCCTCCAGGAAAGCTTCTGGAGACATGGTTCCAGGTTTCAGCGTCTTCACTGCAACTTTGGTGGTGCCGTTCCAAGTGCCTGGAACCAGCAAGAACCAGCGTCAGGGTCACCAAAGTCAGACACCATCAGGCCCCAGAACCCGAGGCCTCCCTCACCCCAATGTTATGGAAATGGACAAGGCTGGAAGAAGTCCCAGTTCAGCGTCCTCCAACCCAGGGCCCTCCAGATGCATTGGGATGACAATCCCTAGAATCTCTAGCCAGCAGCTCTAAGCTGAGCCCATGATTCTTGGAATTCCCGCCCATCATCTCGGGAGCACAAAGTCAGGGACGGCTGACCCGGACAACTGGCATGAGATGAACGATAACAAAAATGAGATGAGGAAGAAGAAATGATGGGACAGGAATGCCTCCACACTGAGGACTTCCGTTCAAAAGGAGTCATTTCCCATAGCTTACACTTCCTTGGCTATGGGGTGGCCTAGAGGTGAAGACACTTGCTTCCCACTTGGAAGGTTGAGAGTTCAATCCTAAGTAGCGGCAGATATTTCTCTCCTGGAATCTGAAGAAAAAAAATATCTGCTGCTAACTTTGGATGGTGTCAGGAAGGGCATCTGGCCAGTAAATGCTCAGCTTCATCTAGTTGCCCTGACTACAGGTAGTCCTCGAGTTACGACCACAACTGAACTCAAAAACATTTGCTAAGTGAATTTGCTCCATTTTACGACTTTTCTTGCTACAGTTGTTAAGTGAATCATTGCATTTGTTACGTTAGCAACACGGTTGTTAAGTGAACCTGGCTTCCCCGTTGACTTTGTTTTGTTTCACAAAAGGGGATCATGTGATCCTGGGACCATGCAGCCGTCATAAATAGGAGTCACTTGCCAAGCATTTGAATCTTGATCCCATGGCCATGGAGATTCTGCATAGGCCATAACTGTGAAAAATGGCTATAAGTCACTTTCTTCAGTGCTGTTGTAACTTTGAATGGTCACTAAACAAACTGTTGTAAGTTGAGGACTACCCTGAATTAATGTGGAAAAACCTCTCTCCGCTCAATTGGTCCCTGGTGCCCGAAAGGTTGGGGGCTGCTACACTAACACACCTTCTTGGAACTGAACCCAATGGGCAACACAACTCTAGCATCTTCCCCTGAATGAAACAGAGAGGTGAAAAGAAGATAATATAAGAGAAGTGGAGTTCCTGAGAGACTAAGAGAAAGTGGTTGAAAGGAGGAAAGAAGGAAAAGGATTTACTAGTAGAATAGAATGAAATACGGTAATATAGTTAATGTGA